TTTAAGAGCCCCTGGTTCAATCCTTGGTACCAAACAAACAAAAACAAACAAACAAACCAAAAAAAAAAAAAAAAGAAAAGAAAATGCTGTGGAAACCTTATTCATCAAATGGCCATGTTACACGTTAGACAGTTTTGACTTGAGTTTGTCAGTTATTCCCTTGTATATCTCTGCACAATTATCTAACAAACAAATGTGCAGTAATTCAAACAACATTTTAACCTTGAAGATAACCACAGCAATTTATGAAAACACAGTTTAAGCAACAGAAAGCTGAAGCGATAATGATGTACTCTAAGACAGTGTGCCTTTTCTTTAATGTGCACGCATATCATGCCTGGGAACCTGCCAAAGTGCAGACTCTGATTCAGTGGGTCTGGGGTGGAGCCTGAGGTTTTCAATTCTTCACAAATAATAATCCTCCTGCATCAACATACCAACTTGCAGGAATTACAGAGTGCACCACCACACAATTGAATTCTTCATAAGTGATAACACTCCTGAAGATTATGAATCACACTTGTAGCAAAGATCTAAGGGACACCACTGGCCAGAGCTGGGCAGGGCTCTCAAACAGCATCTCAATTATGTACCAGGATCTAATCATTTTCTCTGAGGGACAGACACTTCATTCTGTCAGTGCCAGGAAAGACAAAACAAAAAACAACAAAAAAATCACACTATTAAAAGACACATGAAGGCCAGTAGATTCATTTTATAAACAATTAACTGTACCTGAACTAAAATATTAGCATTTCTCACCATAGGCACCTCTGGTACTGCAAGGCAATCCCCCTTCAATAACAGAGAAAGATGGCAATTCTGGATTTGCAAAGTTTAAGGACCAGGCCTCAGATTGTAACAATATCCTCAAAGTACCTCACTGTGTGAGGCCTGAACAGACAGTTGTATCCCTTGATTAGTTTATCTCTACTTAGAATAAGCAGAAAAGTTAATGCTGTTGAAATATGGCAAGTGATAACAAAAAAAAAAAAAAAAAGGAAATAAAATCCAAAAATGAATACACAGGAATTTAGTTTTTCTTATTTGTTGTATTTTTAGGGATGATAACCTAATGATCAGCCACCAAAGATAAGAATAAATCCATGAGGACAGTAATCTTTTCTCTGACCACAGAATATAGTATACAGAAGTACCTCTAATGCCCAATAAATATTTACTGAGTAAATGAATAAATGAACATTTTAGGAGAGTGAGAGTTAATTTCTATGGTATTTACATCTTAGAACCAAAGATTCCAAGGAGCTATAAAGAATTCTTCTTAATGATTTCAACCTCAGGATAAGGTGGCTGTAAACAACCAACATCTCTCTTGCCTTTAACTTATTCAAACAATAAAAGCTACAGACAACCCTTGCATTCCTACACAGAACTTCCTTTTCTCTGAAAACAGAGAGGAAGGCCTAAACTTAACCACAGAGGAGAAACTGCTACATGTTGACAGGTTTTTGATTTTTTTTTTTTTTTT